GCCAACTACAGCACTCACCTCCAGGTGCCAGGAAAGGTGAGAGTTCTGGGGCTCTTAGCAGGGTACCGTCCCTGGACACTACTTAAGTGAACCTTATGTCATGTAACCACACAACTACTTAGCTGGAGCGTAAGTGTGACTACCCTTTCCCTCGGCACCTTCATTCCCGTCCAACTCCCTCTGGCTACTAGATGAGTGGAGCATTCCCTCTGTCGCCTTCTGCCAGCTTGGCAAAGCTCTGCGTATCAGCAGAAGCAACAGCGACTATCTGTCTGCAGGCGGAGGACGATAGCATCAGTTACACTCCATTCACTATTGGAAGATTCTTCATAACCATAAAAACTGGACATTTTTATTATTCATATGATTTTATCTCCCTCCCCAAGATGTCAACATGTCACTACTTCCTTCTTCCTCTGAATGATTGGCTTTTCCCAGATCTGTTTTTCATATCTAACCTTTCATATCTCCTGGCTCCACTATTTCCTCAGGGATGTCTTACCATTATCACCACATGAAAATAAAAACAGCAAAAGCTGAATAGCTGATCTTTCCTCCCCCTCCTTTTTCTTACCCCTTTCTCGTTGTTGATAATCAAACTATCTTGGGGTAGCCCATGACTCTTCCTTTTTCTTCTCTTCTCATATCCAAACTTCAGCACCTTGTCTACTATATTTATAAGATCTGCCCCTCTACCTCAATGTTAAGGCCAGAAGGATCAGTAACTAGTTGAAAGATAGAAAACAAAGGGTAAGAAACCGTTTTCACAGTGGAGAGAGGTAAAGAGTGGAGTCCCCCAAGGATCTGTATCATGACTAGTTTGGTTCAACATATTCATAAATGATTTGGCAGGAGGAGTAAACAGCATGGTGGCAAAGTTTACAGACTATACAAAATTAATCAAGGTGGTTAAATCCAAAGCAGCCTGAAAAGTTAGAAAGGAGTCTCTCAAAACTGGGCAACAAAACAGCAGATGAAATTCAATACTAATCAATGCAAACAACACTCATTGGAAAACATAATCCCAAATAGATATACAAAATGATGGGATCTAAATTAGTGCTTACCACTCAAGAAAGATATTTGAGTAATCGTGGATAGTTCTCTGAAAACATCTGCTAAATGAACAGCAGCAGTTTAAAAAAAAAAGCTAAGAAAATGTTAGAAAACATTATGCTATATAAATCCATAGTATGGCTGCAACTTGAATGTTGGTTGCCCCAACTCAGAAAGATTAAAATTGGAAAAAGTACAAAGAAGGGCAACAAATGTTCCATACCCTTTTCATGGGAGGGGAGACTAAAAAGACTGGGACTATTCAGCTTGGAAAAGAGACAGCTGATGGGGGATATGATAAAGATCTAAAATATCATGAGTGATGTAAAGAAAATGAGTAAGAAAGTGTTATATATCCCTTCATGTAACACAAGAACTCGAGTCTCCCAATGGAATTAATAGGCAGCAGGTTACTAACTTAAGGAAATATTTTTCACACCTCACAGTCAACCTGTGGAACTCACTGCCAGGAAATGTGAAGGCCAAAAGTATAACTGAGTTTAAAAAAATTATACACATTCTGGGAGGATAGTTCATCAGTGGCTATTAGCCCAGAGGGCCAGGGATACAATCCCATGCTCCAGGTGTCCCTAAATCTCTGACTTCTAAAAGCTGGGACTGGATGACACTATGGATCCCTCAATCTATTTTCCTGTTCTGTCACTCCCATCAGCCACTGTCAGTGAGCGAGACTGATCATTGGTCTCACCAAGTATGGCCATGAGTGACCATAACTCCATAAAAGTTAATTATTGTGTTCTGGGCACTCAAGGCCAACAAAGCCTTTTAAAGTTTCAGAGGGGGAGCTGAGTTCGTCTGGAACTGAAAACACTTAAAAACAGCGAATGGTCCTGCAGCACCTTAGGGACTAACAAAACACGTAGATGGTGTCATGAGCTTTCGTAGGCACAGCCCACTGCTTCACATGGAGTTAAGGGGCCCAGGCTGCACCCATCACACAACTCTATCATCCCAGTGCCTTGCAAATTCAAGGACTCCTGACACTCACTCTCTCTCCCACCCTCCTCAACAAGAAAGTGTTTTCAGTATTTGTTGAACAGGTCGGCACTCTCGGTACCCGAGTGGTTCCACACAACGGAGTTTTCCGGACGAAGCGAGGAGTCAAGGCTCCCTATCTGGCTGTAGGCTGTGCTTCCAGGTGGGGTTGTGCTCCCTGTCACCTGCTGCTGCCTCCAGCCCCCCAACTGTGCCAGCCCTGACCAGGGCTGTGTCCCCCACTGTGCCAACCCAGACAGAGGCCGGCCCCGCTGTCTCCAGCTTTGGCAGGGGCTGTGCCCCATCACCAGCCCAGGCTGCATACCCAGATGTCTCCAGCCCCACTCAGGTCTGAACTCCCTGCCGCCAGGTCTGGCTGGGGCTGCGCTCCTGCACTGTGCCAATCCGTCAGGGCTGTGCTCCTGGCTGTTGGCCCTGCCACCTCCAGCCCTGGCTGGGGTTGAGCACTTGCCACCAGCCCTGGCCAGAGCATTGTTCTTCACTGCACTGGCCCCGCTGGGGCTGGGCTCCCCACCACCAGCCTGAACCTGGCCTGTCAGGGCTCTCTGGTCCAGCAATATTTGTGGTCCTGCTGGATCACGGATGTTGCCAGACCAGAGAGTCCCTGATTTCAGAGGTTCAACCTGTATTTCAGAGGATTTGGTTTGGGGAGTTTAGGTGGAAGAGGTGAATTGCACATTTTACTTTAGAAGGTAAGAGATTAAATAGCCATAAATCAGAATGGCCATTTGCTGTTCACTAGTGCCCCGTAATATCTTTGCATCACTGCTTTCCAGATTTTGCGCTGAACAGCTGTGTTTCACATTCCTTTTATTTTTGGCCACATTTCTAATCTTTTTAGAGACCTCTCTATGTTCATTCTGTTCACACCACCCCCTACGCCAAGGCCAAAAGGGATCATCGTGGTCATTACAGTCTGATCTCCTGTAAAACGCGAGCCATAGATCTTTCCCAAAATAATTCCTAGAGCAGATCTTGTAGAGTTCTATTGTCAAGCTTTAGTGTTGACACACCAATTAAATAAATGGGCAGCAGAAAAGTTCACAAGTTACAAAGCTTCTGTCAGGCTCAGGAAGACAAAACTGCACCCTTAATTCACATTTGGAAGGTTATCACTAAAACTGAACAGGCTCTAAGCATTCGTGTTTTTCTAATTAAATCTTATTCTTTGCAGCCCATATAAACCATCCAGCCCCAAGAACATCAAGGAGCTATGTATCTGACACCGAGCCACATTTTATAGGTTATTTTCTTTGACTATTTATCACATTATTTCACTTGAGACTTAAATTAGATATATAAGTGGCATTTGCCAGGAGCCCTTTTGAAGGTTGAGATATTTGCATACACCAATGTTCCCACTAACCTGCTCAATCCATGTCCAGATTTTTCCATCCACGTGCAGAATAATTTTATGCATTGAGGTATGTGTGAATGTGTACCACCAGTAGAAACAAAACACCTAGCTTGTAGGCTCACGCATTACACACAACTATTGAACGATCAGCTCTAACCCATTCTCAGGCCAACGTGGCAATGTTTTCTACAGAAGACTCCAAGGTTTTGTCCAGTTTTAAGTGAATCTGATAATAATGTTCCCAATGATTCCCTAAGGTTACAGGGTTTCCCAGCCTATGGGTCGGGACCCAAATATGGGTCACCATTACATTTCAAAAGGGTCACCAAGTGTCCCTCCGGGTGGCTCTGTCCCCTCTCCTCCCCCTGTTTTTGAATTGCCTTGGGTCACCAAGTCTTCCTGAATTGTCAAAATAGGTCCCCATCTGGAAAAGGTTGGGAACCGCTGGGTTACATACTTAAAGATTCCACATCATTAGGACATAGTCTTGGTATTTAGCCTAAAGGTTTATCTATTCTATAGATTTTTACCAAGTTAATAATCATGCTGTAACTAGGGATGTGAATGTTTAACCAGTAAGCCTCACCCTTAAGGTTAACCTGTGGGGGCTGCAGCCCTGCGGTGGATCCACTGCAAACAGAGGCTGCTCCATCTGGGATGCTGAAGCAACCCTAGCCGCTGGGGCACCCTGGCCCACCACAGGCAGGGACTGCTCTGGCGTCTGGCTGGAGCAGTCTGTCCGCGGCAGTCCCTACCTGCTCCCTTTTAATCGGTTAACCAGTTAAACATACTGTTTAACCTGTTATAACCAATTGAGTATGATCTTATATCCCTAGTTGTAACAGTTTACTTCACATACAAGGTTCTAAACCAGACTGTTTTGACCTTGCTGGGGAGCAGAGCTGAAACGTGCCTGTCAGACTGTAACTGGGTTATAACAAGAAGTGTCTACTATATACCAGGGATGTCAATGTGTACCCATGTACATGGTTGACCAATGAGCCTAGGCTCTTCGGTTAATGTGCAGTTACATGCAGCCCATCTGTATCAGAGGAAGCAATGCGTGGGTGGGGTCAGTGAGGAGGCAGTAGCCAGTACACGCAGGGAGTATTCTTTCAAGCAGCTGCAGCCTCCCCACCCCCCGCATGTCAACATATAACCACACTCGTTAAACATTTACATAAATGGAGGTATTTAACATCCCTCCAGTACACCGGCTCATCTGACCAGTTCTGTGCAACTGAATTAGTCCTCCTATTTCAGGTCTCTGTTCCCAAGGACCCCTCAATATGCCATACACCAGCCAAAACCACACCCACATCCTCTATCCAGACACCAGTTGGTAAAGCTGCATGGAACACATGTACTTGGTAGTACCCAAAACATCAATGAGGAAACATATTATGCAAGCAAAAATATAGTGCAAATGCCTGAACCCTGGTAGCAGTACTTGTGAGATAGGTGCACATCAAAGAGAAAAGCAAGAGTCAGCATGGAAAGACCATCTCAGAACTGCTGATGTGTGAAACTGAAAGACAGTTTATTAAACACTTGTATTATCAGTGGTTACCTCTCTTCATATCACTCTCTGGAACAGTTTTGCTTTTTGAGATATCTTTTCCCCCAGCAGACGGCTCTTCATCACTGCTCCCAGAGATTCCACTGCCTGTCTCCTCCTCATCCTCATCCCCTGAGAAGTCCTCAGGATCACTGTAATCACTACTGCCATCGCTGTCCTCAGAGTCGTCACTGTCAGCTCCTGGGTCAATGGCAATCTCTCCTTGCAGGAGCCTTGGCTTTTTAGCATCATCACTGCACTCCCCAGAAATGCCTGATCTGCCACTTGAACTCTCCAATGGTTGCTTCTGAGCAGGAATAAGCTTAGTATCAAGGACAGCCTCTTGGGCACTTTCCTCCAGAGTCTCTGTGCCTGGGGCTTTCCTTTTGCCTTGCATCCTTCGAGACACTCCTTTTCCAAAGGAAGAAACATTCTTTCTGGGGTTGTTCCCGGGCCTGTCCTGGCGTGGCCACATCATGAGACTTTCAATGCTTCAACACAGCCTCCCAGGGCAATACGCTGTACACAGCGCTGTGGTAACCACAGAGAGGGGAAAGTGGGGGAAGCGATCAATATATTTTATTGGACCAATGTCAATAGAAACCGCACTGCACCTCCAGGTCTCCCTAGCAGCAGCGAGTGGCTTTGATCCCGCACCTGCCCGCACGCAGCCCTGTGGGGCCCGGCTGCTCCCGGGGATGAGCAAGTGGAGAACTGGCGACGCTGCTGCCCTCGTTTGGCAAGGCTTCCGGGGATGAGCAGGTGGGGCACTGGCGACGCTGCTGCCCTCGTTTGGCAAATTACGTGCAGGGCCCCGGGGCCACGGCGATACTCACAGCCCACGCCGGGGGCCGCGGCTTAAGCGTGGCTGCATGGCCATGCAAATCTATGCAAATCTATGCAAATCGCTTGTTTCGCGCGGACGGGCCTGGATAGACAGACGAAGGCAAGGCCCGCTCTCGCCCCACCTGACTCTCCCACTCCCTGGAGCCCGCTCGAGC